GCACTCAGAACCAAGCTGTTTTTTCCTTTGATTTGGAAATGCTAAAGGCACCTGGCAGTGCCACCAGAAGCRGTAATTATTTAAAACACAATACACTGTGGTGATGGTCTAAACCTCAGTTGACATGAAGAGGTAGTAAAATTTGCTGAGGGAAATATTATTCCAGAATGCAGTGTAACCAGAGAAATACCGCTGCTTCCTAGAAAATGGGTAGTTTTGGATATATTGTGTACCTTCCTGGAGGGTTTTTTTTTGTGGTTAGGAATCTTCTACAACGAGCAGGGGGAAGCTCGTTAATCCACATCACTGCATTCTGTACCTGAGGCCTTACATGTCCTGCTCTGAACCGCTGCTTATTTCTTTTTATCACAATCATCAATATCCAGAACATTCTGCAAAATACCGGCAGGTGCCGCCACTGGCTCAGCAATCGCCCAGGGCTGGGTTCCACGGGCAGGAGCAGGCATGGAGCTTCCTCCATGTGCTGGGCACCCTCTACAAGCCAGTAAAGCTTTGCACTGAAGCACATCACAGCTCCAAGTTCCAACASCACAGAGGGCAAAGGCCTTTCACAGAGAGATTAATTTCTCCRTGGCAGATCATCTCACAGAAATACAGACCTCATAGCTCAAGCTGCAGGTCCCCATATTCCTCCCATGAAAAATGAGGCCCCATGGACTCAAACCTGCTCTCACAGCACTGTTTCCTCAGGTTCAAGCAAGGCACTCGCCAGCTGCCCTGTCTTTGCTGGGAATATGCAGCAGATGCCCAGCCCTGGGCCTGAGCAAGAGAAACAGGTAGTGGACGGACATTCTCACACCTGGATGTGTCTGATAGAGACTTAACTCCTAGCGCTGCTCCAAAGCCAAAGTTCCAAACAACTTGGCTCCTCTGCCCATTCCACAGATGTGGAAAGAACAAGTGCTGGGAGAAACAAGTGCTCCTTGAATAACTAATGCAAGAGTTAAGTAGTGCCTTTTTTTCTCCCTGTTGAATCAGAAGACACTTCATATGTTTTGGTTCTGGAACAAAGGCCAAGCAAGTGCTGCTAAGACTATTCAATGCCCTAGGTCACCATGACTTTGCTGCATGCACGAGCTGTAGAGCACACACTGATTCACCCAATGTTGTCACTACATCCATGAGCTAAATGGGTGTCTCCCTCCTTGTGACCTTCTGAAAACACCAATCACTGACCTCTCTCCCCTATGATAGCAACAGTCTACTCTTAGGAGAATGAGGGAAGATTTCTCTATATTAGCCTTCTTGTTCAACATTCCTGGTTGTCAAGGGCTGTGGTCATGGCATGGCCCATTGTTAGGTCCGTTTGTTCTTCTCTCTGTTAATGAAGTCACCATCACCAAAGCAGTCCTTTCAATTGAGACAAACAGACCATCTTCAGCCCCTGAAGCTAGTCCTTGCTTCATTTTGAGTCACATATGAAAGGTGGGGTTGCAATTTGATATAAAAAMATCCAGGGGAATGAAACTGCTTTCCTGATTATCCCCTCCCTAGGTCAAGGGAGTAAGACACAAGTGCTACGTAACCAGAGACTTGCCCATCTGCCCATTCACTCCTAACTGGTAACCAAATAAAGAGAAAAGACAGCAGTCTAGGGCTAGCTTGGGCCACGGTGAAATTGTACCAGTAAGGAGAACAAGTTTTAAAAAGTTTCATACATCAGCTTTTCCCAAGTGACACCAGCCACGATCAGATCATGGCCATGARAGTTTTTTCAGGGCCTACAGGTGCTTTTGCAGACACTCACCCTTCTTTGCTCTGAACAGCCCCTGTGCTCACGGCTGCACAGGCAGAGGCCCAGTTGAGAGCTGAACACACAGGAGGACAGTGGGAGCTCATCTGTAACAGGAGGGGGGAAAGGACATTGCATGAAGGACAGTCCAGTTCAACCAAAAGCTGCTTTCAAAGCTCTTCACCTTTGTCAGGAAGYGACAGCTGTAACAGGCTGCTGTCACAAACCGGATCTTCGAGAAACTCAGAGCAGCTGAAACCTCCTGTTCCCCAAGCAGTTCTGCGGGAGGAGAGGAATGAAGCAGAACGGATACAGGTAAGGTGAGCCGCACAGAGCAAACAAGCAGAGGTGAAGTATTAATCTCTAGTTCACATATTGAAATATTCTACTCCAGCCGGCAACAAAATGAGATTTTAGAAGGACAATATTGAAACTGTGAGAACTTTGTGTAACAGTGTTAGTGCAGACAGAGGTGGGAGGTGTTACCATAAGCATTTGTTAATACTGGGCAAAAAGTTCTCTTGTGGGAGAATAACCAACTTTAATATTAATAACCTGGTCGAAAAGGAGTTGTCAATTCACACACAGCAGTTTATTTACAAAGGCATGCCAGGTCCAGACTTGTTTTTGTTTTAATTTACTGTACCACAGATAGCAAAAGAGAAACAAYCAAACAAAAACTGAGCCAAAGGGATTGTCTCTGCGAGTATGCCCATTTCTTAGAGATTGCCCATACCCCTTTAAGGCAGCACAAAGCCCTTYTTTATAGTGGTTTGAAAACTACCTCCTAAATTAAGGCAGCAGGGTCAAACTGACCACGTATTATCTAATGATGTACTCAACTATTGCCTCATAACTTACAGATTTGTTTATAGTTCTTGTAGTTAGAAAAAAGAAATTTCTCAGATCATGCTGACTTATCTTTTAAAAACAAACCTCTTTTCAATAGCATATTTTGGGAAAACCACATGGTAATGTTGAATGCACCTTTGTCTTGCAGAGTGAAAGAAACAACCATCATCTCCAAAAGTCACTGTAACACCACAGATTCCTCCTGCCTCCCCAATTAATTGGCAGATCATTCCAGTGAACTTTGAAAAAAACACCTCTAAAAAAGGGTCCAACCAACCTCCATTCAGGATGTGGTTGTTTACACCTGCAGTTAGTTTCCTCAAACATCCAGCTGCACTATTTCTCTGCATCAGTCCACAAATAGATCCATCTCTCACACCATGCATACACAAGACAGGTAGTAAAATAAACTTCAGTCATTAACAAACAAAACCCCTACAGAACAGCACAACTTAAGAATGTTCAGCTTTTTTAATCCAATCCTTGGTACTGGCATGTACTAGGATTAGAATTGGTGGTATAAACTCGACTCATGCCTATTYTAAATGAGTTACAGAACTGGAGTTATAACATGTCCCCCAGTTATTTTGCCTGAGGCTCTATATATTCAATGTACTGMAGACAGTGATTGCTGAATGAGCAGCTAGTCACTCTTCTATTTTCTCTTCATTGGCACAGTGTCTAGGCCACACACTGAATGTATTTACTGAACTCTAGCCAAGGTCTGTGCAGAATACAGAATTATTCATTTACTCCAAGGCATTTTTTTGGTGTCCATCACTGCAGCAGCCTACTGATTTGGACTCAAACATTTCATTATCATCACTGGAGGTGAGGGAGGGTGGGGTTAGGCTAATCCCCATTTTACAACAGTGGTCCAACAGCCAAAATCTTCAGGCTAAACTTGTGACAAGGATGGACTGTTCCCTCACCCTTTGCTCCAGGTTATTTAGCAATTCCCATCATTGTCTATGGTTCCACCAGTTAAATTCAACTCTTGGTGTCCCAAACAGAGCATGCAGAATCTGGGAGTCTTGCAAGGGGACCACCTGCAAAAAGCTGAAGAGCTGCACAGAATCTCTATGCAAAGCACAGAGAGGACAAATCCATTTTTCCCTGCAGTGTTCAGCTTGCACTGATTATTAAAATAGACTTTCTCTTCCTAAAACACACTGTGGTTGCTGATAAAGCTTTCCCAGAACTGACTGCCAGTGTCTGCAAAGGACAAAAGCTCCTCAGTACCCAACTCTTGAGATGCAGCCCTGCTCAACCCAAAACTTTGTACCATCCTGAAATCAAAGCATGGTGCAGGTTTTGCTCTCTCAAACATGAGGGAGCTGCACCATTTGTTTATTCTACAGGTTTGTCCAAAGCCAATCTGCCAAATGCAAATCTCTACCACAAGTCTGTAGCAAGGGAAAGCAACAGTCTATATCCTCTTACAATACAAGAGCTTGGCAAGCCACAATTCAGGCACGTCCCCAGCACCCAAATGCATTTGATCYACACATTAACACAGTTCTGGTGATGGAAAATATCAAAGACCACAGCAGGAGGAGGGTGTGTGGGTAGTGGGGAGGATTCTCAGCTTGCAGTGTCTGTGATGATTCCCCACAGACCTTCACTGTTTTATTGCATCTTTGTGGAGAGGCGGTGATGGGAATGGTGGGAGCGTGGCTGCCATYGGTGTGTGAAGCCCTGCAGCTACAACACACTGCAAGCTGCCACCATTTATCCCATGGGGAAAGGGGACCAACACTGTGTGTGGCAAGCACTTCCACAGCCAAGGCTGCTCCTATGGATTCCATAGACCCACCCTCCCAGTATATCAGGCCCTCCCCAGGCAGAGCACCCATCCCACAGGTGGCCACATGCAGGAGATGCGGGAGGCCTGGCAAGCACAGAGCCCACAGACTGCAYCACTTGCCTGCGACTGAACAGGTACCAGAACATCCATCAGCAAGAGACTGGCACTTCCCTGGCTGCAGCTGGATGTCCTGGGAGCCGGAGGAGCGTGGCTGGAGGTGGGAAGATGGCTGCCGCGGGCCTCAGGACACCGAGCACAGCACACACAATGCAGCCTCTGTTCAAAGCACGCAGCAACAGAATCGAAACCACTTCATTTCAAGGAGCATTCAGGCCTGGAGCCGCGACTGGCACCGGGACAACTCCAAAGTGGCAGTGCTCCTGTTGAGGGAATGAGTCCTGCTCCCGTGGATRCAGCAGTGTGCAGCAGCTTCAAGAACCCCAGCCACTGCATTTGTCCACCCACATTCTGAATTGTCAAAGCTGTATCTCAGAAAATGAAGCAGGAGAGGTTTTTTCAGATTTATAACAGATTGCTTAAAAACTTAAGCGTCTATTTCATTACTCCACCGTCACAGGAACACAGATCTGAACCACCAGCCATGTACCTCTCCAAAGCTGCAGCGGATATAATTTCAGGTACTCTTTGACTGCAGCTCACCTGTAGGAGAGGCAGGTTGTTCACAAGGTTACTAGAGTGCTGTTCCACTTGTGTATGCAGCAAGAGGATGCAGCTCAGCTTTGAGCTGATTAAGCAGATGAGAAATATTATCAGGTTTGAGGGATCCAGTGTAAGTGCAACTACATAGAAACCAACTATAAAAAGGCTTTATTTTTTTCCTCATTACCCAGAATGTAGAAATTAACTCAAGAGACTCTTCCCCTACCTCACAGAGTCTTCACAGACTGATTCTTTTTATTTCAAGACAAAAGTATACAAAAGGACTTGAAACACCAGCACTGTTTGCCAGGGCAATAGAATTCTTTCCAAAGCCAAAACTAGAGTAATATGTTATCCCTGTTTGTGTTGCGTGAGACAGCTACTGCAACTTCTAAGGGTACCCAACATAGACCTGATGTTCTTGTACACTTAGATTCACAAACCTGAGATACTGTTGAAGATACACTTTTAAGTAAAGGCTTTAAAAAAAAAAAAACAACTTCAGCTCTTTAAATATTGGAGCTGTTAAAGAAACCACAAAGCATCAGCTTTTAAAAGCCCTTTTGTCATAGGGAGAATGCCATGAATCACACACACATTGGCAGATTTGTGCAAATCTGCTGCAACACAAGGACAGATCTCTCTCTGCCATCAAAAAGTCATCTACAGTTTAAGTCTGCTGTTCACAACTGTAACACTTAATTATAACTCGCAGTTTATAGCAATGGGAGTGTTGTAAAAAATACCACAGCAATAAAAAAACCAACTGTGCCTGTTTAAAAGTGTGAAAAACTTATTTGAAACTTTCATCTGCAGTATTTGGGTCACCAGTTACACCTGAGGTACCAGCTAAAGCACTATGTAACTCCAGGTGCACATTGCAGTGCCAGAAAATAAGCAAATTAAATTATTTAATAAGTCAGGTAGGCAAGAGGCTTCTACCTGTGGTACAAGTCAAACTTGGGAAAACTTTAACTTAACCTTTAAACATGGTGAAAGGTTATCTGTCACCTTACCGTGTTTGCTRTGGGCCATCTCAACGCAAAAGGAACAATACAATTCTCATTTCCACTCCCAAATCTAACATCTGCAGTGTCTGCATTAAAAAAAATTACCTCTCTCTGTACTGAAGCAATATCCAGGTCTCACTGGAAATTCAGGGCTTTCTTTTACCCRAACCTGACAGATCCCCTATTACTACACAGCCACATCACATCAAAATAACTGACACCATGGCCATCCTCAACTCTTGGGTCCTGCTTAAAAAAAAACCCAAACAACAAAATAACAACAACAAAAACCATAGGACTGACAGTACCGAAGGAAAAGGATAGTTTTGTTTCCCCTTATCAAACGAAATTCCTTTGCAAGACCATATAGTTTACTGTTCTCCTCTTCATACTCCACACATTTGCCAGTATAGGTATAGTAACTGGAGTCTGTTTAAAAMCTAAGTCGTTATTTTTCAAATTTAGACAGGTTTTCAGATAAAGAGCTTTAAAAATGTAGTATTTTTTACCAGAAACTACCAATTTTGAAAAATTTGGACATGCTGCACACATCCTTCCTACCCCTGAACAGAGAGCTGTTTATCTGAACTTTAATTCCCAGTATAATTACTTGGGAGTTTTACTAAATGTTTCCTGTATGTTTCTCTATAGATCAGAACTTGGTTTCCTAAGTCACCTTAAAGATAAAATCTGATAAAATCTTTCCAGGCAGTATTTGTGTGTTAATAATGCTTTCTACACACCCATTTTACTCTGAAGGACTATTTCCAGCTTACAGAGAAGCAGCATCTTTCATTCCTGGGCACATCTGTTTCCCACTCTTAAACTACACACTTGACATGCTCTAAAAGTGTTATCCACCAAATTTATGAAGCACTTAAGCACTAAGTATCTACGTGAATCTCTTCTCAGCCCTTTAACAGAACAGGGTAGGGAAAGAACACACTGTGAAAAATAATGAAAGATCTGAGTATCAAAATAACTCTGACAATCTTAAATGTCATAGTCTTACCCAGAACTGGCACTTTCTCATTTATGGCATTAAAAGTAGGCAAGATGAATTTTACAAGTTTTATTACACAAAATATGATCCAAACCCCTAAGAACTCTTCTACAGTTCTAAAAGTTTTGTTCTGCAACTTGCACTTCTATATGCTTTTCCAAAAAGCCAAAGTAAAAAGCCTCATTAGCCCCACTTTCTTCTTAGCAAGAGTCTTGAAAAAACCAACCATAGTTGCATCAAAATTTATTCTTTGTACTCCAGGAATTGCTGAAGTCTTTTCTTATGTTCTGTAGACACTTGTACAGCACTAGAAACAAAAGCAAAACATTTTATATTAAAAGTAATATAGCACAAAAATAGYCTCATGCTAAAACTGAGTGTACATTGAAGTTAATTACACTGAAGCCAAATTTTAGAAAACACTGCATTTTATGAAAAACCATCTATATTCCACGATAAAGAAGTATATTAACCCTTAAAACTGTCAATTCTTATCCTCAACAGCTTCTAAAAGACACCTGTCCCAAGAAAACTTGCCCATCTCCTTACCTTTAAACAGCAACCGATTAATTTGCAAGAATGATTTAGGTGAGAGAGAATCTCTTAAAAATGATCCCTCCTGTATATTGAGCACTTCTAAACTGAGGGACATTTCATCCCCAGAGTGAGAGATGGGAAGTTTCAGTCCCACATATTCAGAGGCCAAATATGGAAGTTTGCCTGCTGGGAGAGTGGCTGAGGAAGAGCTGTTGGACAGCCAGGCAGCAATGGAATTCCATTATTTGGACCCTTCATAGGATTCTCTCTTTGCAGAACAATTGTCTCTAGTTGATTTTTTTTTTCTTCTCAGCAGCTCAGATTTATTAAACAAGTAGAATTCATGAACTGCTTCTAAAGAGCTCATGAAAAGTTGCTAAGAAAAATTGCCCAGAAATCTACAAATAATTAATTTCTAAGGGGAACCATATATCTATACAGGAACTTTTTAAAGTTCCACAAATCAAAAAATACTATAATAATGATCAAAATGGATTTCCCCCCCCCAAATTTCCATGTTCACAGATCCTACAATAGCATTAATTACACTAAAGTCAACAAGCAAGCAATCATGAGGAAGTTCTTACTTCAAGTGTTCTCCAAAGACAGTAGTTATCCGGTATAGGGCTGTTTTCAGAGATGCTCTAAGTGCAAATCKTAGTGTTTTGTAAGATGTGTCCACCAGACTCCCTGAAATCCGGGGAGGTTTGCTAGAAACATGTGGCAGTTTGAAATGTCTGTCTACGACCTGTTGAGAAAAACAAACCATTTCATGTCAACTGTTCAATTATTTTATAATTGAAATARTGACATGTTTGTGTCAAGTAAAGCAAAAACAAAATGCAAGTTCAGAAATTCCACCAAGACACACAAACATGGTTTGGAGACTGAGCATTWCCCAGCCACCAACAGGAATACAGAAATAAGATTCTCTGTTACTGAGTCTTAACTGCTAAGCACAGSACATGCTGCAGGAGAAACATGATTCTGTCCTGTATTATGATTTGTTTCTTTCACAAACAAGGGTATCWGCTTTTTTCCCCCCTGGTGCCTGTTCTTGGAATAGATGACTTACACTGAAGAACTTTAATTGCCTGTAAATTCCTTCCAAGAATCTCCATTAGGGCAGTGTAAAATGATTATGTTAATAGGACACGCATAGCCTTGGAAATAAATCTGGATTTTTTAAAACACGCATTACACAAACATCAGTAATTTGATTGTAGTGTCTTAGTATTTATTAGCAGAGACAATTTTTTTTTATCTCTTGTGATTTGCAATGTCTCCAAGTGCTCCRTGYTRCATGAGGAATTGTGTGCAACCAAAYAAAGATTAAGTTCTAACCTGTAAAAGACATAGTATTAGAATCRCTGCATCCCTGAAATAAACTCTTCAACTGAGTACACAGTACCATTTCTATAAGATTAAACATTCCATGCTTTCTCCTTCTACATTTAAAAAAACCAACAAAGCTTTTATTCAGCTGTTTCATAGTATACATAGTGGCAACAGCTGTTTTAGTTAGATGAACTGCAGAAGAGCTGTTTCAGTGGCAACAACTTCAATGTTGTGACTAGTCAGCAAGGTCATTATGCAAAATCAACAAGACTCCTTTTCTTCTAAACTTGCCTTGCAGTGAGGAAAAKTTAAGAGTTTTTACCTCCTGAAGAGTAAGTAAAGTGTTCAGGATAGCTGGCAGTGTAGTTTGGACAACCCCAAACTGGTCTTCAGTAAAGGAGGCTGCTACCAAGTGAGACAGACCTAAAAAAGAAAAAAAAAAAAAAAAATTTGTTCTAGTTAATGCGTCAAAAGTTATGACAGTCACCTCAGCTCTGGCTCAAGCACTAAGCCAGTCAGTTTTGTCAGGTGTTTAATAGCTTGAGATTGGTAAAGCAAGAGAGATTATATATAATTATGTGTGATTCCCATCTCCAGACTCTTAAAAATCCCAAGCCATCACCTTCAATCCAACATAGATGGCACATCTGCCCATAAAACACATCACCAGGGAACTCTGATCAACTCTGCACAGTCAAATCCAATCAATACTGGTATTTGTACATGACTTTGAAATAAACAAACAAAACCCAAAATGCAATCACATACTGTATTGTTCTGCTAATTCTCTGCAGAATTATCTTTTTGTTTGAGAAGTTACTACCTGAATGTCTCCCTCAGTTCCCTTATAAAGACCCAGAGCCTTTAGTCAAAAAGGYTGCTGTAAAAAGGCATCATAAATCTGTTACTAAAATAAAATGTGAAAGTGATACATGGGTTCTCTTAAGAGAGAACCACCAGAAATCAAGTTTAGAAATCTCTACAGAACATAAGAGATCTCACATGGTATTTCAAAACTAACAAGTGAATTAGACTTCAACCGCATTGGTGTCTGAAATGTAGTTGGGTTTTTGTCAAAAGATTTCAAAKATTTTTATTCTGTTACATTTATAAAACATACAGCCCAGAGAGTTTTCAATGAACCAACAGAGTGGATCATCTGGAAAGCACTCACCTTCCAAAGCCCAGATGTGCATYTGGGCATCAGAGAAGACAGCCTGGATGGAGGCTTCTGGGTGCTGGGAAGAAACCAAAGTGTGGTGAGTATACTTTATAAAGAATACCACAAACTTGCAGGTTTCATTAAAGTATTATACATTCACAGGGTCATGTCCCTCCTTGCAGAACAGACCTGCAAGGCTAATGGATCTTGGATAGCCAGATAGCCAGAAAAATCTGATCTAAAGAAGTAATTCTGTTTGGACAGGAGCTGCCCATGATTATTTTATGGCCACAATAATTATGCCCACAGCTGTAATTAGAAAGGAAAAAATAGAGGAAGAAAAGGATATACACTAACTAGTTTTCAAGAGCTAAGAATGCTTTAAGCAAAATGCAGTTTCTAATCAGATGACTTTAAACAAGCATTGCTATTCTTATTTTCTGCAGGCATGGGACAACCCTGCTGTGAAACTCACAGCAAGCTTTCACAAAGTTGTACTTTTGGAAAACCATAGATGAAAATACAGGTTTTAGAATTATTCCTCATGTCCCAGACCACCCTTACCTTGCTGAAGAARTACATTATCAGTGCCCGTTTGGACAAGTAAGTTTTTATCTGAAAAGAAACAGAAGGTTAAACATATAAYCTGTATTTTTTAAGGCATCCCTACAGTGAGTCAAGGGAAGGACTTGGATTATATAAGCTAGGCGGAAAAGGAAGTATTCATCCCATAAAATGGAAAATTCTTCCAGACAGATATCACCTAAGCTGCATCCCCTATACACTGGAATTTTACTCCACCTGTTCTTGCTTGTTCTGAAGCCACGTGTAAATAAATCTTGGCTGCACTGCCTCGCTTCCAGCTCTTGCAGCAGAGGGTACCGGGAAGGATTCATGGTGGGAACCATTCATTTGATGATCTGCAAGAAAAAAAATAAACCATCTTCAGAAAAACTATCTGCTGCCACTTTAATCCTCACAATGCAGCTCTCCATTGACAAGGCTACTACACTTACAGCTGTGAGGCTCAGGACAGTGGAAGAGTCTCTACCTGAAACCAATGTCCAAAGCTTTGGTCCCCTTCTCATGATAGGGACCGGTCCATGCCAAGGGGACTTTGCATCCACAGCTCCCATCTTGTAACTTAAAGCAGGTGAGCTGAAAGGTGAACCAACATCAGAGCCAGGCGACGTCTTCACAGGCATCAGGGATGGCTTAACCAGTGGAGACATGGAGCCTCTGAGAACAATGTTGGACCTCGGTGACTGGAATGACATGTCTTCTATCCCACCAGATCCTTGTGACAAAGAACACATTGAATGAAATCAACAGGCTGGCACAATGAAGTAAGAGGTGGGTGTGTTACTTGGTTGCTATTTCAACAACTTCTGTATAATCAGAGCTTTTATTAAAGGACATGGCTACCATTGTGGTCTTGCACATCAGCATAAGTATGGAGCATTTTCAAAGCTTATCAGCTTAAAAGCAGCAAGTGATGAGAGGAATCCTTGTGGATTTATTTGTTTTACTCCTTTTGCTAGCCAACATTACAACACCCTGCTATATATGTACATGAAGTGGGCTTTTAAGATTCAGTACTAGAAAAAAGGCTGCCTGTGGAACGATGACACGTCGTTCTGATTCTGACTGGCATGTAAGAAAAGGCATGTCCATCTCTAAATCCAAGGATCAGCAGCACAAGAAGAAATTCACCTGTGACATACCAACAGTCCCTGCTGCTGCCAGGGCACTGCCTGCTAAGGAATTCCATCACCTGGCAGYCTTGTGCTAACACAGCTGTGCTGCCAGGAACGATGCCCAGGTCTGGCATGCAAAACACTCAAAATGCTTGGAGGCTGCACACAGCTCAGGAGTCAGCCTGGGCTTTCCTCACTCTACAGTGATATTAGTGAATCACACAAACATAAACAAAACCTAATTTTACCATCTTAAACTAATCATAAGAGCAGTTATGYAAATTACAGAGCATCTCTTGGCAAGACTTAAATTCTCCCTGTGCTATCTCGAACCACTTACTGAAACTGTGATAATCAGACTTTTTTTATTCATGCATGTATGAGAAAAATACAGTAATAAACATAATATCATGCAAAGTAAACAAACTGAGTAAACATGACATTTCCAAGTTTTCTAGTTATTTCCTGATTATTTCAACAAGAACACCTAAGATTAATTGGGGAAGGATCTTATCTGCTTGCATTTATTTGCAGAAATTCCTCATAAAATTTAAATGAGACTAAAGTATCTATTGGTACTTTCATGCTTTACAAATCTTTATGAGCATTTCCTCACATACCTGGAGTCTGTGAAGGTACTTTCATCTCTCCCACTGGCTGCTTTGCTCTCCCATTTGCTGCTGCTGCTTCCTGCTGTGCGATCAGCCTCTGGGTCAGGTCACTCAGGAGACTCAAACACTCGCGGGATATCGCAGTCCAGTTGTGTGGGTGCCCACCTGGCATGCAGGGCACACAAAAGCACAGTTTAACCCAGCTGCTCCTCCCTGTATCTGTTCTGACAGTGCCCATGTGCTCCCAGCAGGAGCTTCACAGTGACAGTGCCACTTCTAAAGCGCCACAGGGCATTTCCACTGTGACAGCTTGTTTGTAGTGAGAGGAAGATGAAAACACGGGCAGATCCAATGGATAACTCTAAAAAGACTTCAATAAAACCTGCTAAGCAAGCAGGCAGCACAGGCAGTTCAGCCTGTCAGATCTGACATCACTGAGCAGCTAAAATGAACAAATATCAGTGGTGATRGCAAACAGTTTTGAAGCAGTACAAACACTAGAATTCCTGATAAGGTGCTACAAAAAGTTCCTGAAGGCTTCTAAGCAGTTTTAATTGACCTCCCCTGCCATATCTGAGTWCAGAAAAGGACTGTGCACTAATTGAAGTAACAGGCAGTGTTTGCCCTCATAGCTGCAGGGATGAGTCGGTATTTGTGCCTCATTTCCCCTCACTCACACCTCAACATTCAACTTTTGTGCACATCTGTTAGATTATCCAGTCTGGACTACTTGACTGGTGGTGTGAAGAGGCCCTGCTTTCAAAATCCTGAACCTGTACTTTCTTGTGGCTGTCATTTAAAAACAACAGACACCAGGTCTGCTTGATTTTAGTAAGTGAAACAATATGAACATAGATATTAAAGCAACCCTACAGGGCACTATATGGATAAGGCTCCTGGCTTCTACAACATGCCTCAACAGTATAACAGAACTTCTAAAAGCATTTGACTAATGATTTTAAAAAAGAAATCCATCGTTTTTATAATTACCTGGCTGACTAAGGCTAAAGACTTCCTGTCGTCGAACAGGAGAATACTGGGAAAGTAACATCAAGTCTTGTAAGGCTAAAAACTACAAAGAAAAGAAAATGTTTTAGTGCATGCAAAGTCCAATGTATTTTCTTAAATGAAGATCTGTAGTTATCCATACAAAATCAATCCCTGCCAAAGAATGAGTACACACAGGCTAAAACCAGCTATGAAAGGTAATGGAGGCAGATCCTTAGAACCATTCTGGATGGGGCTACTGAGCTGTTAAGAGTTTTACTGATATGTCAGTTGTTTGGAGTTCAAGAAGATCTAACACTGTTTTTTTATTCTAATAGCTCAGGCAGAAAGATATTAAGACACTAAAAAGAGATGTTTTTGCAAACCAGAGCTCAACTAAAGCTTTAGAGTCAGTGCCTTGTAGGACCAACTTACCATTTTTTAATGTGATTAAGCAATTCATGTGCCAAACTAAAAATAACCRGATTTTTCACAACCCTTTTATAAATTGGACATTTTAATGACATTTGAGATCATAAATTAGATTTCCTGTTCCTTTAACTGTTTGTGCTCAATTCTTCCCCAGCAAAGCTTAAAAAGATATTGCAGCCTATTTTTTTATTATAACTCGAGTCTTATCCGAAATCTGTAAAGTCARTAAATGTAGATTTTGCATGTGCAGAATATTCTTATCTTTATTTACACAATACCTCTTAGATGAGGTCTCCCATTTCTRAGTATTGTAATCACTAAGTCCTATTAATGATTACCACAGACCAAAATTCCTCTTCTTTACTCGCAGGTTTTAAGCAATTTTTTACTATTACTCTTTATAAAAAAAGAAACTCACTTTCCAACATAAATACAGATGTATTTTCAATTTCAAGCGAGCACACATGTTAAGAGCTCAAATATATGTAGCAGGGACAAGATACTAAGAGTACAAGGTGACAAAACACCTGCTTATGTGACAAGACTCAAAGTTGAGTTACAAAAACCTGAATACTGTTAAGCTGCTGCTTTTGCATCTGTACACACAATTACACTTCTGCTGCACACAGATCTTACCTCCAACTAAATGAATCTTCAGCTTACAGTAACAGCATAGTGAGCACCAGCAGATGTCACTACTGAACAAATTTTCATCATTAAGTGTAACAGCCYGTGAGTGCTTTGAGGCAGCTTTTCAAAGGATTAACACCTCAGTGAACAGAACTGGTACCTGGGAGATGTGACTGAATGCTCTGAAAAAGACCTTTTCAGCACACCCCTATCAGGGAAGAGGGAGGAGTAAAATTACCTTTATAAGGAGCGGAGGATTGCTGTTTAAGATTTTAGGCAGGCACTGGTCTGTTTCCTGAGCAAATGTTGGCTGGACAGGAAAATGATGAGTCTAAATACAAACATCAAAAGTTGTGTTATACAGGGGAAAGCACAAGAAAATCTTATTCCCACATACTGGGGAAAAACTAGTAACACCATATTCCAAAATAAGACTGAAACCTAAACTGCAGTATCTGCCTTTACACTCTAATGAAGAATTGAGGGTTCTTTTACCAAATAAGAAAAGATTTTTGAAATTCTTCTTTTGTGCTGTTCCACTGATAAACTGAAGAATTTTTATTTTTATCATCATAATCATATTCTGTGTTTTAATAGAATTCCTGTGGCTGCAACATTAAAATGTAAATAGCAGTGCTTGAATTATATCAAGCATCACATAATTTTAATGCTATTTAACATGGTTCAATTTGTGCACAGATTACCTGTTAGTTTTGTGTTACTACACTCATTTCACACATCACGTATCATGTACACCTATCACCTTATTCTCCTCTGTTTCCAACTGCAACACTGAAATTTGAAGTAGCAATTGTTTTCAAGGTGTTAATAAATGAACTAAGAGGCTAATCTTACAGTTTCTTTCCTGACTTGTCTGTTAACACTATGCAAATATTTAAAAGCAACAYTGGAAGTTTTTTAGCTCATAAAGAAAAGGAAAATCACGTGGATAAACAAATTTTTCATCAGTCCAAAGGGCAAAGTCCATTTTATAGTTTCATAAACAGATGTTTCTTTTGCCTTCTGTAGTTTTTAAGCAATACAGTAATTACAAATGTTGACACAGTGTTCACTGGTGCTTGATATTATCCTTTGAGACAGGTTGCTCAAACCTCAGAGCTGCTGTCATGCTTGACTCATTGTTGATCTTTCCTCCATATAGTCACAACAACTACATCTYTCTAATTAAAGCTAATTAAACACTCCAACAGCACTGTATTTGCCATTTTGTTCCATGGGTGCTTTGCACAAAGACATTGACCGAGAATTTAAACCTCACTTTTTTTTTTCTGTTTTATCTACAGTCTAGTAGTGTTTTAATAAAAAAAAATAAGAAGTTAGATGAACGATTTTTTCCTCTCTATTCTTACAAGGAAATATCTGGAAGCAGAAGCAGAGGAGTAAGAGGAGGAGGTGGCAGTAATAAAACATTAATTTTGTAAGGTCTTGCTGTAAGGAGAAAGGGAAAGTCAGKTAATGCCAGGGCTCTCTTGACTTTTCAGTTATCAATTACTATCTGCAGTGCGTGTTGTGAAAATTCAAGAACTCACAATGAGTTATTTCCTAGTTAAACTGCTATGGAAATGAAAGAATTATCTATGCAACACTGATGTTCTAACTTGAGCACTGTCACAAGTACTGACCTCTGTAGCATAGATTTTGAAGAGCAGCCATGCAATGTACCAGGTCATCAGAAGGAACACACCACTCAGCCACGTATGGTAAAACAAGGAGAGATCCAATAAGCCACTCAGAGTGTCAAGAGGATGTAATTTACTGCAGATAAAAGAACCAAGAGGATATAAGTATTTTAGTATTTTTATTATGGTAGYTGTCTGCAGCAAGCTGTTACAGTAGGAACAACTGCAGGAATAAAGCTGATCTTTTTTTACAAAAAAAAGTTTAAGTATGTTTGAGATACCAGTTCTCTGATTATTCAGCAACTGATGAAATAAAGTTCAGAAAAAATTATGAAATTAAGGAAAATAAATATGAAATAAGTAATAATGGTTACAGTTTTAGTCRATTAAGGTATTAAGACTACAGCTTCCCTATTTTAACACAAACAGCCATATAAAAATAAAGATGTCCTCCCCCCCAAAAAAAAAACATAGAAAAGCAGATAAAACTCATAGATGCAAYTTGGAGTGTTTACCCTTTCTAGTATTTTAAAGACTTACAGAGACAAAAAACCCAGGTGATTTCTTAATTACTATATTTATGTTAATGACAAGATGGTTCCTTACAAGGGGATGCTGGGTCCTTCAGGATTCGTTTCAGAAGTGACCAGAATTCACCACATTCTGCATGGGGAGGCAAAGAACTGAGTCCTGCTACCAAGCTGCTAAGCTGGAATTCCTCARCAAAGGGAGCTGTCAGCCAATATTCCAAATTTCCAGCACCTACCTACCTACCTACCTGTCTGTATGAAGATCCATCGTGGTACATATCCACACCTTTGGGATATAACCTAGGGATCAAAAAGAAACATGAAACAAATACAAACACTACAAAACACACACACACACACACTGGGACAAAAAGAAGACAAAAATAGAATTCATGCAGAGACAAGAGACTGGTCTTGTGATTCACGTGGACAAGGAAACAATCTGCCGTTGGGGTTTTTTTGTTTCAAGAAATAGAAAAAAGAGAATGAAAAAAAGGCTTCAGGACAGCAGCTATACACTGAGGGATGGAGATCACTTTTACTGCTGTTTCTCAGCAGTGAGTTAATTGTGTTTCTTCACTAACAAAAGAGGGTTAATTGTAATTTWATATTAATTTTCACTACAGCACAGGCAGCAGCAAAGTGCTTTTAAAAATTTAATGGAATCTGATATAGAAGCACCATACTTCTAATTTATTCCCTGATGTAAATAAAGTGGAAATAACTCCTGCATGTTCTGACATCATTTAGGAGGATATTTACAACCCAAACGAAGAATTCCTGACTTTTAGAAAGTCCAGTACAATCATCTTCATCAGCACAAACTTTTTTTTTTACCACAGACCAAACTCTATATTCATATGGGAGGGAACCATCYTACCTCTGCTTCCTAAGCTCCCTCCAAATAATACACACTGCACTTGAAAATAAAGCTGAAGTGCTAATCTTTGCCTAAAAAAATAGTGAAGATCCAGCAACACTACACACAGTGAGGTCCTGCCCACTGCTGGTGTGTCAGGTTCAGCTCTGGGACACCACATTTCAAATATCAGGCAATGCAAGGAGCACTCCAAAGCCTGACYGATCAAAGTTTTCAAAATACAGGAATTAAAAATAAAAAAAAAAAAAATAGAGAATTTCAGGAACCCTTACCAAAAAAGTAGTATGTGACACAGAAATTTCTAACAAAATACAGTGATTCCACACAACTGTGYTTTATCAGGAGAGGCAAAGATCTTCTGAAACGTAAATACTTGTATTGCTAAAACCAAACAAAATAAATAGTTTAGTATTCCATATTCAGAATAAATCAATGAAATGGTTAAKAAAAACAAAATTAYAAAAAAATCTGCTAAGATACTTGAAGTCTAGATGAATTAAAAATTTAGTTTAAGGTAATTCTAGGTGTTGCATGTATTTATGTTCCCAGTCTTTCCTGACGTTTCATAATCATTTCTAGTTCTTATCCTTTTTCCTACTTGTAGCAGTGAAAATTGAGGATGGGATAGACTGACTCAATACACAAGGGAAAACACTAGAATAACCCTATCTAATGCAAAATAAAGAAAATAAAGGCATCTTTAATCTACTAGATTTCATTTAGATTCTAAATGTTCAATTAAAATATAGTGAAAATTTAGACAAGTCTAAGTTCCAGAGTCAGTAGTCCTCCAAGCCACAAAACTAATGTAACACTGATGTCTTCCTCCAAATGTTTCCAAATGACTGAAGCCACCCAGCTGACATATGAAACCATGAAAATGAAACTATGCAAATGAAACCAAAGTGATTAAATTTTTTATTTGACTAAGTTGCATTAGGGGGAAAAAAAAAAAACCAAACAGAATTAGCAATAGTGGAATAGATTTCTTAAAAAAACATTTCAGCTTCAGCATTGCCAAAATTCTGCTTSGTTTGCTGATAAAACTGAATGGTCAGCATAATGCAGGACACGTTTTTCACTAATACAACCAACCTTGTATTAGGCACCTCCTGCTAAATTGGTTAGACTGTGTAAATCTGGGAATCAGGCAAAGTTAATGGCTCCTGTGAGGCTGCAGCAACAGAAGTATTTTTAAGATGTTTCACATTGGTACAGATTTCTGCAGGACTCCTCCAGAGGAATTAATGGAATTTCAGTTTCCATAGTGCTATACACAGAAAAAGACTTTGGATGTTGAGCTTTAAGCAAGATTCAATGTGCTATTTAGACCTGAGCTGAGCTGTAACCCATTTACAATTGATAATATGCGCCTCTTTTATTTTTTTTCTTTTTTTAAATTGTCAAGATTTTCAGCTTTTAGGTGAAAATCTTGTTGTCAGTTCCACAAATTGATGCCTGGTTTGTGTGCCTGTAGTTCACCCGCCACCTCAGACAGTTTTTAACACGCATCAGAGGAGTGGAGTCCAAAGGTTACAGAGTCACAGCATCCCYATTTCTGTATTCATTTAAAAGAAGCTGAGCAGGAAGGAGGAGGATGAACACTGCTGGCATTTAGACTTCATCTATCAGTGAAAGCAGCTGAGTACTGCCATACTCATAAATTATCCAGGCTTTTTTGATCACTATTTTACTTCAATATGTCATTCTACAAGGTTCGTAAACCTCTTACCTGTATGATTGGAAATGGCAAATAATTCATGTTGTTAATAAGATAGAAAAGGCTGTAACTGTATCCCAAGAAAGCTCCAGAGAGTAGAAAGAAGAGGTGATACTCRTTTAGGCACATCTGAGGAACAGCAACTTCTAGGCTAAAATAGAAAACTTAGAATCAATTCTGAGTTCAAAACAAAAAGATGCTCAAGCCTTAGGAAGCTCAAATCAGAAGTTTGATTTTACTTCCATGATCACTACATGTGATGCTATCTCAGTAAGTTTTTGTTAAAGTAGGAATCCCACCACCTGTTTTTGTAATTTATGAACGAGGATGCTTCCAGTATTTACGAAATATGTCCCATTAACCACAAGACCAAGACTTAGTTCAAGTGACAACCAACTTTTCATCAACTTTCCATTAAGAATCCTGGCAATTTAGCTTTTCTGGTTCAGTTATTTCTCTGTGCATTGCTGYTTTCTCTCCTTCAATAAAAGAAATCAACAAGTAATTGCTCATTTTTTGAAAATACCCGAATTCTAGGGATTCTTTTTGAAAGAAAYGATCAGTAAATACACTTTGCAATAGAAGATTTTGTTTATCTTTGACACACACAATTACCTTTCTGGAGGTGTGCAGGACACAGCAAGGAACTGGAACCTCCCTTTTGTCATCACTGTAGCACACCAAGCAACCAGCATTCCCATGACAGCATGAACAAAGGAATGGATGACTTGCTGAGGGTGGATAATTTTTCCTATCAGTGCTAATCGAGAGCATGGTATTGATGGCACAACTGTAAACAAAAGAAGATCATTCATTTTCATTTCTTACTAACAGAACTTTTAATTTCATTTAAAAAAAACCCCAACTAAATAAGATCCCTACCATTGTCACCAAAGAACTTTTCACAGTCAGGATCAATCACTAAATTATAAATKATCATCTTATTTAATTCAGGTATCAAAGACAGTTCAAGAATTTACAAAACCCACCTGCATAAAATTCAACGTTGAAGATGCTTATTACTATTATCACCACAGACATCAGGAAGATACAAAAGATGACGTAGGAAGTATACAAATCACTGAAAGAATCTAAACAAAAAATAAATATTACAGTTCAAAAGACCACAGTGACATATTAAGCAACAAAAAAGTGCACTTAAGCAACTGACAATAATTCTCTAAGTGCTTAAAGGGGAGTAATGGTCAATGGACTCTAATCCCACATGTGATCTGCCCAGCTACACAACGTTTCTGCACAAAAAGTATTTTTAAACTTCATAAAAACAATTTTACACCCTTATTTTATATGTAAGGTTTTCTTACAAGTGAACACTAAGAAGTTTGTTTAGAAAAAAAAAAATCTTTTAAAGTGAATTAAACTACGGCTCAAATATCACATTTCCCTTCCTTTAAGAAAAGCTGCAGCCATCCAACCACACCAAGAAAAGAGGAAATTTCTTACAGAGTGGTTCTTTTGGGTTTTTCTATTTTTAAAAGGAGGAAAGAAGTCAATTCTCTCTGCCTGGAGCAGCTCAATGATCACAGGCATYGAGCTTCCAGCTAAACATCTCTCAATTTTTGTTGTAGGCACGCAGGGGAAAGTTATTCTCACCATGCAGAGTGAATGCTTCAGGAATTTCTCTTGGGATTCWGTGCACCATAGAGAAAACTGAAGCYGTTTWTGGAAACAGCAGCTGCASAGGGTGGAAGGGGAAGGGTRTCCAAGCACTCAGAAAAGACAACTAAAACACTTAACCTGGGGTTTTTTTGCTTTTGTGAGGGATATGCAACACTTATTCCTAACTAGGGTGGACTGTGGCTGCTGTGGTTGTAACACAGAAACATTTCAAAGGGCCAAAGACCATTGAGAAAACAAGTGTAACAYGATGCCAAGGCCAGTTCCCGTTATCTGGGACAGAGCCCAAAACAACACAGTGGAGAAAAACAGAAATGCAAACATGTGAGGGTAAAAAAAAAAAACAGGAAAACACGGCCGGGCACCTACTCGAGATCCAGCGCACCGGGTGGAACGGGTCGAGGCCGCTGAGGATGATGAAGGCAGCAGTGCAAATGGGCAGCAGCAGCACGGACCAGGTCACAGCAGCGGCCA